CTGCCACTGGGTTGAGTGAGTCTAGACTGTCCTGTTAGGGTCTTCGATGATGGTTGCTCATATTTGGGGAAATATGCTGTGTCCCAACCCAGGCTATCTGGCCACATGAAGTTTGGCTTAGCTTCTCCAAGGAGGACTCAAAGGCTAAAGGGGTAAATAAACAATATGCAGAACACTTTGTCTCCTTCATATCCATTATCTCAACACATTTCAAAACAAAGTCATAGCGAGAGTAGATAACATTACCCCACTTCACAGACCTAAAAGCTGAGGCACCAGGGAGGAGCCTGAACTACCCAAAATTTGATGGTTGGCTAATCGGCGACATGAGAAATAAAATGTCGTTCTTACTCTTTCTGCCATATCACAGTATCTCCCCTTGCCCAGTTTGTCCTGCTTTTTGCTTGATGTTAGAACTTGTGAAGTAGCATGAGCAGACATCAACCACACTGAAAGGGACCCACATTTTTAAGAGTAGAGAAAACATGAATTAAGAAGCTCATGAAGATAGGAATTAACGAAGTGCTGTGTGTGATTTGTGATGTCCCAGGCATACTGCAAAGATTATGTCTCATTTCAAAGAGCAACCTCTGCCACCTGGAAGCCGGTTTAGGGCAGGCGGAGCAGGGCCAAGGCTGCTACTGTGAGTCATCAGCCCCCAGGCTGGGGCTTTTCTGCACAATGCCACTGTCCGATCTCCCCAGCTTGTTCCTGGCACCTTGCTTCTTTGTCCAAGCAGGTCATTAAGCAGGTAAAATTGACCTTGATCTATTTAAGAACATCTTTCAAAACGGCAGCTAGTCTAAACAGGGTGTCGAGCATTCGTGCTCATCCTAGGGGTACTGCTCAGTTTCTCGAAGGATTCCATAATACACGGAGGAGTGAAGGATTCTCCAGCTTCCTAAAATTAGGGAAATTGTGTTTTGCTCAGAAGTATTCGTCCATTGAGGAATTCAAGCCTCATTTCTGAGCGGGCTCCCTTTCCCTTTGCCAAAATGTACATTTTAAAACTCTGCCTTTGCCCCACAGATTTGTCTAAATCGCCTCTAACTCTTTGAAATAAGGGCTGGATATAAATCTTACCAAATAATGACTAATGTATATTAAGAGTCGACTCCATGCCAGGCACTCTGCCTGCAATAACTCATGCCATGTTCACAATAACCTCACAGCTGAGTTAGTATTGTCTCCATTTTCCAGATGAAGAAGGAAGGATCTCAGAGAAGGCACAGTTTCAAGTGATACTCAGGATCTGAACTCAGGTCTGTGTGTCTCTAAGTCCTGCCTTTGCTACTTGCGCTCATTCATGGATGTATCTCTCTTTCGTAAATCTCAAGTAAAGTTTCAACAATGCTGCAAGTCTAAAGCAAAGATTAGGAAACTGCTCTCCACTGGGAGCTCATTCTTCCTTTCCCTGGTCTTCAAATAATCAGTGTCTGAAGGATGAAGAAGGAAAGTGACTACGGTATCCACCAGTCTTGCCCCCTTTCCTAAAGCATCCTTGGGGTATGTCACTGTACCCTCCCAGCCAGGGTCTCCTCCAGGTCAGTGGGTCTTTTTCGAGGACTATGGTGATAGGGACAGATGTCTACCAGGGATCAGGCAAAGATCATCAAGCTCTAGTGACCAAAGCCAGAGGTGAACTATGGGCCGCAGAAATGAAAGGTTGGCCGTCAGCCCATACTCCCCTGTTCCTGCCCCTCACCACAGGGCAACAGACAACCCTGAAACTCAGAAGCCATAATCACTGCTCTCTGAAGCCATTTCAAATGCATCTGACCGCCCAGGTTTAATTCATCTCCTTTGAGGTTTCAGGAGATGACCCGACCCTGGGCTGCAGACCCGAGGCTCACCTTCAAGGATGCGGCCATGAAATATGACACCACTCCCCCTCTCCGCAGCCTCCAGTCAATCCCCAAGGCCTCAGACTGCCACAGGACCCCAGGAGGTGGATGCAGACAGGCCTGACCAGGCAGAGGACGGGGAACATGACCCCCCAGAGCTTCTCATGCCACCACATTAAAAAAAATGTGGACTAGGTCAAATTTCATGCATTTCTTCTGGTTTACGAAAAGCAAGTCTGAGAGTCTGGGTGGGAAGGCAACTCAAAGGACAGTCCCCAAGGTACAGAAACCCAGACAGCCCCTGCGTAGGGGGGAAGGGGGGACATGCTGTTTGACAAAGGTGTCATGTGATATTAAACATGGTCTCAGACCTATGAACACTGACCTTCGCCCCTGCCAGCCCCGCCCTTTCTCTCCCCACTCCCCTATTTCAAATCCGAAATGTAGATTTGGCCTGAATACAAAATACCTTCCTCCAACCAGAACTGAACGTTTGCACACCCTGACTGCATTGAAATGATACAATGCCGGGGTCAGAGTAACACAAAATACTAGGACCACTAGACATAACACAGACTCTTTATTTCTAAACACCACTATAGCAGTTGGCAGTCCCCAACCCCCATCTCCAGCCCAAGTCTCAAATGTAAGAGAATTTTCACTTTATCTCCTCGGGCTTGTTTTCCCTTCACTCTCCTTATTCATTCCATGTCCTTGTATTTTATTTTTCCTTTTATTAAAAAATATATATATCAGTGCCTTCTCTAGAGCCCTCCTTTTTAAAACAGCACAAGAAGGCACCTTAAGGGAGGGTGTGGAAATCTGTTTGCAACTTTCTGGAGTGTAATTCTAAACCACAAGGAAGAATATCCTTCCGCCTGTGCAGCTAAAAAATTTGACAAACCACAACAGCTTTTCTCACTCAGAGGCAGGACACCTCCTCCAGCTGAAAAAACTGGATTCTGAAAAGAAGGAATTGTAGGAAAACTAACCAAAAAGTCCAAAACACTCACCTTTGAGTTTGGAGCATCTCGTTGACTGTATATCTGTGTGTGTGCATTTGAGTGTGTGGACACGAGTATGCACGAGTGTATCTTTGTGCAAGTAAGTGTATGTATGTGTGGATGAGCGAATGTGTATATGCAAGTGTACATATATGTGTGTATTAGAGTGTGTGCATGTGAGTTTATGAGTGAGAGTGTGAACATATGTGAGCGCCTGTTCATGCGAGTGTGTATGTGTATGTGTCAGTAGTGAGTGTACATGTGTTAGCATGAGTGTGCATGTGTATGTCTGGGTTTTTTAATGGAGAAATACAGTGTCTGATGAACCAGCTAGACTAAGGGTCTTTTGGCTCCACCTGGAATCTACCATCCAACCCTTGCTCCTTACCTTAGGGCAAAGGTGAGGCTAAAGTTGACTGGAGGTAGGCGATGAACAAGGGCCAGAGAAAAGCAAGGCAGAGAGCGCTCTGGGGTATCAGTTCTGTAACTGAAGACACTCTCAACATTTGCAGACTTTGCTGCAGGTCCCAGGAAAGCCTATCACAGGAGGGAAAGCCTATGGCAAGATGGGCAAGCTCCCTTGAACGGAAAGGTGAGGCTCACAGCACAGCTGTCTGCTGGTGCATCCGTTTCCTCAGTTATTACACCTGCCCCAAGCTCCTGGCTCTTGCAGGAAAAGTCCGCACTGCATCAGAATAAAGATGCCCAGGCATAAGTCTGCTGTATTTCTACATTTGTGGGCCAAGAGACTGATGCATCCAAACTGGTTCAAGCCTCTTGAAGACCTCATTCCACCATTACCCAAGTATTTCCCCCATCCCTCCCAGGCCCCAGCACACTAGCCACCAAATGACAACAGACTTCAGAATTAAATTTCCCTTTTTTCCCCATAAATATATAGTCTTCACAACCCCTTTATATTTTCTAATCTCCTAAACTCATTTAATTATGTCCAGAGTAATTAAACTTGCTATCAGGGGGCATCTGGAAGGAAAGTTAATACATTTTAATTTTACTTATACAATGAATATTTGATCCCACATACAGTGTAGGGGAAGGCGCTTGTACACACACAATCTTGCATAATGCACTCTTGGGGATCATGGGTTGCAGGAGGTTGGCGGGGTGGGAGCCAGCAGGATTCACCCAGACATGCTAGGAGACAGTGAGCACCATGTGGACGCGACCTCGGGGTGAAAAGGGATTAGTGAGGAGTATTAAGACTGGGCAGGGTGGGGCCTCAGGAATCTCAGACACCCTTTGACCAAAGTCCCCAGGAGTCGTATCAGACAAAAATCTTCCTAAGATTTGAGGATTCATGATTCCTTTTGAAAGCAGACAGAGGTGGGGTTAAAAAAATAATAATAATAAGGTGTGGCTAGTACTAACCCTCCCTCCCCAATCAAATTCTGCATGGGGCTTTCTTCCTCCACCTGTCTGACAGGTGAAAGTGGGCAGGGGCAAACCTCCTCCCAAATTCCCCTTCTGAGAAGGGGTAGAAGGTGGGGTGCTTGTCCGGCACAAGTACATATTGTGTCTCCATCTACATGCACCATGCCATACCCCCACTGCTTGTAGACAAAAAGGAATGAGTCAAATGACTGTCAAGTGACTCAACACCTGACAGGCTGTGTGGCCGTTATGTGGGTCCCTTCCCTACTGTCTCCTGGTGACTGAAGCCAGCCTCAGTTTTGTCCTCTGTGATGTGAGGACTTGAGCAAGAAGCTTGCCAAAGCTTCCCTAGCCAGGATACTCTACAATTGCACTCCCCTGGCTTCAGGCCTCCCTAGGGAACTGTACCTCCTGGTGAGAAGCGGTTGTGGGCCAAGATCTGTTGGCAGCAGAGCTCCCCAGCAAGGGTCTTTAATCCACATGGGGACAGTTAGCATAACTGAAATTTAATCAAATAAATGGCTAAAACTTAATTGTGAAGTGGGAGCTTGCCTATGCCATCTCACGGCTGGCATGCTCCCTAATCACACAGCTTACTGCATGGCTGGACGCCATCCGAGGGACAGGGTAGGACCGAGGCAGCTCCTGCTCACCTCCCAGTTGTCCCCAGACCATGCACACTGAGGTTCTGGTGAGGCCACCTGTCACCAGAAGGCCCATTATGCTAACATGCAACTAAGATAAAATGGATAACTCTTACCGGGGCAAAAGATCCCTTGTGGGAAAGGCTCATGGTAAGAGAACGCACCTCCCTGGAAACAGATGTCTTGGTCCTATAACACAAATTGCAGTATCACATCCCCAAAACACAAGCCCTCCCATAAATCATTCAGGGGAGCCTGTTTCGTTTTCCTGTTCTGATGAAAGTGACCTGCGTGTGGGGCTCAAGGCCAAAAGCACTGCCACACTCGAGCAACTCCACACTTCCCCACGGCTTACTGTAAAGATGCTGACCAAAACCACCAGGGCTGGAACCGCTGCCCTGCCCGACCTGTAGAAGTTGGCATTCCCCAGGGTTCTGCCCACAGGCTGAGCCCCTGCCCTTTCCCCTCCTCCTTTGCCAATCCTACCAAGCGCTCAATGCCCACCCACGTGGGTCTTCTTTCTCCCGCCTTTGTTGGATCATCTCACGCAGAGTTGGGGGCTCCGGGTCCCATTTTTTATCTTCTATAGTGCTCAGTCTACAGCTCTGGTTCAGGCATTCTCTCTGACTCTACCTTGCATTGTTTGTTTCACACAAACATGTTTTCTCTCTCCACATTGTATTTTCTTCAATCAACAAAAATTCACCAACTGTAAGTGTGCAATTCAATGAGTTTTGTCAAACGTATACAACCATATGACCACCACAAAAATTATGCATAGAACACTGACATTATCTCTCACCTGTTTGCCATTAATCTCCCCCATCCAGGCCCCATGGCTGTTGGGAATCTCTGATGTGTCTTCTATCACTATTGTTTTGCCTTGTCCAGAGTTTTGCATTTTGCAGTCATTCAGAATGTAGCCTTTGTGGTTGGCTTCTTTCACATGGCATTTTCTTTGAGATTCATCCACATTATTGCACTCATCAACACATCATATGGTTGCATGCATAAAGTACTTCAGTACTTCAGCTCTTTTTAGAACTGAGTAATATTCCAGTGTATGTATAGATCACAATTTGTTTACCCATTCATCACTTGATGGGTATTTCAGTTATTTCCAGTTTCCCTTAATATAACAGAATGCTACTATGAGCATTTAAATACAAGTCTTTGTGTGGATGTACGTTCTCATTTCTCCTGGGAATATAGCTAGCAGATAAATTGCTGAGTCACACGCAGTCAGTGTATATTTCACTACATAAGAAATCGCCAAAGTCTTTCCCAAAGTGGCGGTGTCATCTTGCATTTCTAGTGAATGAGAGTTCCAGTTGCTCCACAATTGGCCAGTGCCTGTTATTGTTGGTCTTTTTAATTTTGATCATTCGAGTGCATATGTAGTGATATCTCCTTGTGGTTTTAATTTGCGTTTCCCTAATGACTAATGATGTTCAGCATCTTTCCATGTGTTTATTTGCCATGTCTTCTTTGGTGGAATGTCTGTTCAAATCTTTTGCTCATTTTCATTGTGTTGCATTGATTTCTTACTATTGACTTGTGAGAGTGCTTTCTTTATTCTGGATACAAGTTCTTTATCAGATATATTTTTTGCAAAAACTTTCTCCCAGTCTGTCTTGCCTTTTTATTTTATTAACGGTGTCTTTTGAAGAGCAAAAATTTTAAACTTTGATAATGCCTGATTTATCAATTTTTTGTTTAATAGTTTGGTTTGTGTGTGCATGTGTGTCCTATTTAAAAATTATTTCTCTAACGCAAAGTCACATTGATTTTCTCCATGTTTTCTTTTATAGTTGTTGCCCTACATTTAGATCTGTGATCCACTTTAAGTTAATTTTTGTGTGTGGTGTGAGTTGTGGGTTGAAGTTCTTTTTGCATATAAATACTAATTATTCCAGCTCCTTTGATGAAAAGATTACCTTTTCCCCCATTAAACTGCTTGTGCATCTTTGTCAAAATCAGTTAATCTTATATGCATGGGTCTATTTCTAGACTTTATTCTGTTCTATTGATCCTGTCTGTCTGTGCACTAACACCACAAGTTTTGAAGTCAGATAGTACTGTATAAGTCCTCCAAATGTGTTTTTCTTTTTCAAAATTGCTTTAAATATTTGAGGCATTTGCATTTCACATCCATTTTAGAATCAGTTTGTCAATTTCAACAACAACAAAAAAAGCCTGCTGGGATTTGGATTGGATTTGCATTGACTATTGATCAATTTCTCTCCCTGTTATGTTTTAAGCTCCTGGAGGACAAGGAACCTATCTTGCATTTCCCCATGGTTCCTGAGCAATAGTCAACTCCGTGCCTACCTCTGGCAATGTGGTTGTGATTCGGGGCAGGGAGGGTGGAAGCCAAGCGAGAGAAGGTAAAGCAGAAGGCAAGGGATGGTATAGAGTCACAGGCAGACGTGAGGATGATGAATGGGAACTCTTGGTTGGTGTCATGTATTTTGGCAGTGGCACAAGGAAGTGGTGACTCAGGAGAGGCCAGTTTTCTTCTCATAGCCAAGGTCACTGTTTCACAATCAGGGAAAGTTGCAAGATCCCCAGAACTTGAGACTTCTAGGACAAGCTAGGGTTCCTAGAGTCTGGGATCTGGTGAACAATTGCCAAAGACTAGAATGGAAGTTGATTTCATGTCTGTCTTACTTTGGCTTCCTTCTAGAAAGAGCTAGAAAGGTCTTAGAGATCATCTAGTCCATATTTTATAGATGAGCAAAACAAGAACTGGAAAGATTGAGGTCACAGAGTTAAACAGTGAGTTGGTAGCACCCTAAGACTACTAAAAAATTCAGGTCTTCTGTCCTCAAGGCTGTTGACCTTTTGGCTGTATCACATCTCCTCCGCTTTTTTTTTTGTTTGTTTGTTTGTTTTGGTAATGTTCGTCCTCTCCTGTCTGTCACCAGAGAACTTCACAGAACTGGAGCTCTTAGAAGTCAATCAATTGGCTGTGCCAGAAAGTCAGAATTTGGTCTTCAAGTCTCCCTGACGCCTCCTCCCTTCCTGTGCATCTATCAACACAAGACATTATTAAGAAAGCTTAGTGGCTTCTCATGAAAATCCCCTCTGTAACCAGACTCCCTTTCCCTGCCATTTTCTTCAAGCCAGCTTTGGCCTTCCCAGGTATTTTGGTGAGATGGGATGGGCTCTAAAACAGAAATCAGGGACACGATTTTTAAACCACCTATCCCTTACTTATCAGGCAAATCACTGAACTTCTCCAAGCCACCCATGGTTTTCTCTCTCAGATGAGGACGGTAACACTCACCCTATCTGCTTGAAGGCTTATAAGAACACAGTGAAAATAGAGCAGAAGTCCCCTCCAATGCCTACAAGGTGGCATATAATGGAAGATACAAGGAAGAAGATAACACACTCCAGAAACAAACTTTTTCTGAAACCTCACTGCCAGAAGCACGAATTACGAAGGAGATTTGGGGTACATTGGCAGGCCATGGATTCCAAGCTAAGCCATCATATTCCCTGTGACCCGCACATATACATCCAGATGGCCTGAAGTAAGTGAAGAATCACAAAAGAATTGAAAATGGCCTGTTCCTGCCTTAACTGATGACATTACCTTGTGAAATTCCTTCTCCTGGCTCATCCTGGCTCAAAAGCTTTCCCACTGAGCACCTTATGACCCCTGACCCTGCCCACCAGAGAACAACCCCCTTTGACTGTAATTTTCCACTACCCACCCAAATCTTATAAAATGGCCACACCCCTATCTCCCTTCACTGACTCCCTTTTCGGACTCAGCCTGCCTGCACCCAGGTGATTAAAAAGCTTTATTGCTCACACAAAGCCTGTTTGGGGGTCTCTTCACACGGACGCGAGTGAAATACATCTTGGATGCATACTCTCTCCCTGCCATGAACTGCTTCCCTACTGGAAAGAAAGAATGATTCCACTTCCTTTCATTCCCAGTATGTGTGTGGGGATGAGTGGACATCCTGACTTTCTGCCAATTGCTCCATCTCCATTTCTCTTTCTAGAAATAGAGGCTTCCCAGAAAGTGTTAAGCTCACCTTTGCTCTGGTCTTAGAAACCCCTTTCACTCCCAGATCACTGCACACAGCTCAAGTCCTAAACTTGCAACACTTTTCCTCTACTTTCCAAGTCAGTCCAGCCAGTGTCCTGGCCCATCTTTTGACAGGCATCCAATTGCACTCTTGATTTTCCTCTTCAATGGCTGACTTAGACACCCCAGGGCTACATTCCCCCAGAAGCCAGAAGTTGTTTGTTCATTTAACAGAATTTTGCGCCCACCTAACTATTATTAAGTGGGAAAGATCCATAAAAGCCATCTGTGATCACTCCTTCATATCAAGCACTGACCATTCTAAAAACTCATGGACTTCAAACTCTATCTAGTTCCCAGAGACATGTTATATTTGCTTGCTTTTCTCTCCCCTGAAAGGAAAGCCTACGTTTTTGCCGAGACTGAACACTGCTCACGTGATGAGAGCCTTCTTTTTGGTGATGCAGGATTCAACTCTGGTTCCTGGAAGGCTCAAAACTCAGTGCGCCTGGAATTGACCCTAGGCTCTGCTTATCTCTCCTGCTTTGAGCAATTTAATTACTAAATTAAGATAATACCATTGTTTTTCTAACCACAAATGGCTTTAAAATGATCCATGTCGCTAATGGGTAGCTGAATCTCCCTCTAGCCACCTCCCCTACCCACGTCCTAATCTTCCCACCTCCCCCCTCGAAGGAGAACCATACTGTCTTGTCTTTGAGTGAAAGTGCCACATTTCCATGCAAATTGAGTGTCCAGAGTGAATGGGGTGGGGGCGGTGCCCGGACTTTCTCCATGGCTGAGTTGCTGGAGTATTTGCATAATAAAATGTGTTAACAGCTTGGAATTAATCATTGCTGTTACCCTGAATGGCCTAAGAACTATTTTCCAGGCCCTCTTCTGTGAAAACTATGGATGCCATTTGTAGGTAATGGAGCCTCTGCATATTTTTCTAATTATCACTACATTTTTCTCTCTGTCTCCAAAATATGCCCCCATCCTAGAATATCATAAACTGTTGTAGATAACTGGGAATTTCACATGATATGAAAATTCTCAAATGCTCAGTAACTTACACTACGCATGCCTTTACACATAAGGATGATGTTGGAATAGGATGAGCAAGGTTTGCACAACAGAGTGGACAGAGTAATGACTCTGGTTTGAGTCTTCCTCTATGGTTGATTTAGGGCTAAAACTTGGTTCCCTTTGCCGTAAAAAAGGGATGTGGTAGGTGGCCTTCTAAAACAGTCCCATTCTCGGCCAGGAGCATTGGTTTCATACCTGTAATCCGAGCACCTTGGGAGGCCAAGGAGGTTAGGAGTTCGAGACCAGCCTGGCCAGTATGGTGAGACCCCCCCCATCTCTACTAAAAATGCAAAAATTCACTGGGCGTGGCAACGGGTGCCTATAATCCCAGCTAGCCGGAAGGCCAAGTCAGAAGAATCGCTTGAACCTGTGAGGCAGAGATTGCAGTGAGCCGAGATCCCACCACTACACTCCAGCCTGGGTGACAGAGCGAAACTGTGTCTCAAAATAAAATAAAATAAAATAGCCCCATTCTGATATCAACACCCTTGTGTAATCCCCTCCCCTTGAATGTGGGCTGGACCTAATGGTTTGCTTTTAACAAAAAGAATATGGCAAAAGTGATAGGATGTGAATTCCAAGGCCAGGTTACAAAAATCTGATCAATCTCTCTCTCTGTCTCTCTCTCTCTCTCTCCCTCTCTGCCAACTTGTTTACTCTGATGAAGCTAGCTTCCATGCTGTGAGCTGCTCTACAGAGGCCCATGTAGGAAGAAACTCAACGGGCCCCCAGCCACTAGCCATTGAGGAACTGAGGGCCTCAATCCAACAACCCACAAGGAACTGAATCCTGCCAGCAACCACTGAGTGAGCTTGGAAGTGGATGCTGTCCAGCTGAACCTCAAGAAGATGGTAGCTCTGCTTCCCTGACCACTATTCTAACTGCAGTCTTGAGAGAGACCCTCAGCCCAGCTAATCTGCACCTGGATTCCTAGCCCGGAGAAACTGAAATAGCAACGCATGTTGATATTAAGTGCTAAGTTTGGGGGTAATCTGTTATGTAACAATAAATAACTAATAATATTTATTATTTAGGAGATAAAACCATAGAAAATACTTCACAGGGATGTTTTCTCCTATAAGATAATCAGATCTTAAATCACAAAGTGCTATACAGACGTATATTATCATTTGTTTTCGACCCAGTAAATAGGTTCCTCTCCTAAACGCTCCACTTGCTTCCTTTGAGTAGCCAGAGGAAGTTCTGCCTTCCTCCAAACGCACCATCAATAAATTTGTCTGGAGCTTTTATTTGAGTCATAATTTTGCTTCACCGCTTGGGTTTGTTGCGCCTACACTGTAGGCAGGACCACCTCACAGAAGACAATGCGTGAGTTGAGGGTGCGAAAGGAAACTATATCGCAGGACTCCCAAATCACTAAGCTGAAGAAAAAGGTCAAGCTGGGAACTGCTTAGGGCAAACCTGCCTCCCATTCTATTCCTCAAAAAGATAGCTACTAACATAAAAAAGCTACATACCTCCCTCACAATTTGTCCATGAGGAAATTCCT